TTAATGAAACCAAACAAAGAAAAGGTACAATCGTCAAAATAAATCTATGAATAGGGAATTTCCTTCAGGAGTTGACCAGGCCAAAATAATAAACAAAACTTCCTTATTTTAAGACCTCTTTCCTAAACCCTAAACAAAATAAAAATACAATATACTAACCTGACTCCCTAACCAAAAACAGAGATCAAAAAGGTTACAATAAACAAAAATGGCGTCAAACTCCTTACTTTCTCCCAACCCTCTATATTTACAATGATGTACAACTATTTACAAGATCAGGCAAACAGAGTTAAATAGAAGAATCCAAATCCATGTCATAACAAGCAATGTGGTCAAAACCAAACAGTTCCTACTTACAAAATTAATCTCTTTTAAAGATCAAACAATCCTCACTCTAAACAATCCTTTTCAACTAAGAGAACACACAGCCAAAACCCAACAACTCTCTTTGCTCTCGAGAAAGGAAGTGACATCAGGGCTTTTAAGGTGTGCCTTTTTTTGAATGCACCAATCCAGATGGGCCAATCAGCATCACACCTGGATACAGACACTTTCAAAACAAAAGAGAGACAGAAATGAGAAAACAAAGGGTTGTAGCACCATGTCCAGCCCAAGGAAGGCTCCAGTCCCCAAGTCAAGCCCAGGGAGGGCCACTGTTCCCGAGTTAGGCCTACGGAGGGCCTCTAAAGACGATTTTCTCCCCAAGGATTTTGGGGGGGGGTATGGGACCGTCCGTAGTGACCGGGCTGAGTGGCGAGGGTGAGTGCACGGAGGCCGTCCAGCCATGGCCTCCTGAGTTCACTACTCCGCCATGGCCTTCTGAACTGTCTGCTCCGCCGTGGCCTCCTGAATTCCCTGCTCCTCTGTGGCCTCCTGAACTGTCTGATCCACCAGGGCTCCCTGAGCTGCCTGCTCCTCCATGGATTCCTGGTCTGCCTGATCTGCCATGGCTCCCTGAGCTGCCTGCTCCACCATGGCTTCCAGAGCTTCCGGGAGGGGGGAGTAATGTCAGACTCTGTTCCGTGTTTTGTGTTTCTTTGTTCCTTGTACTCCATGTCCTGGTTTTTCCATGTGTTCCTTATGCCCATATTTGGTTCTTCCTTTTTCTGTTCCCATTATGTTCCCCGATTAGTTCTTCATTTGTTCCCAGCTGTGTTTAGTTAATTATCCTCATTCCCCCATGTTTATAAGCCCCAGATTGTTCTGTTTGGTTTGGCCGGGTCTACTTGTTGTATGAACGTTGATCCCTGTGTCCTATGTGTGGTTTTCTATGTTGTAAATAAAGTCTGTGATAATTCTGGAATCTCCTTCATCTCCTCGCTCCTTCACAGTAGGCACAGCGTGACAGAAATATAGTGAATATAGTGAAGCTCAATTAAATATATTTTTTTTATTTAAAATTCAACTTTAATATATTTCAAAATGTATTTCAGGGACAAGAAAATACATTTCCAATCTAACTTGCAATGCAAATGTGGATGGAATAGCCTATATAAATTTTTTTATAATGGTTTAATAATGTTGGATTTTTATATATATTGTATATTTTGTTTATTATAAACTAACTCATTTGCACTGCTGCTTTCCAAAGGGTTCATGAAAACATGTACTGATAAAAAAAAAGTAAACCTTGAATGCTGTCAATTAAACGTGAATTAAGAGCCTCTTCCTAATGAATGCAAATGTTTGCATACTTAGCATGTAGTGTATGTCACATATGGCAGCAAAATTATGTAATTAATACAAATTCCCCAAAGCGAGTGAGTGTGTTTTCTCCTCATTCACACATAAACAGCCTCCTAGAGCTCCTGTGGTAGTGTTATTAAAATGCTAAACGTGTTGAGAGAACACGTGTACGTAACACTTTAAGCTGAAAATAGCTGATAACAGCGTCAAGTGACTCAAATTGCATCTAAATTGCACAGTAGCAGAGGAAGAGACAGAGTCACACATAAGAGCGTGAGATATACGACTGCAGTCTACATGTGAGCGGACTTCACTTCACACGGATCACATAACGCTCTTCCTCAGGGTCTTTGTCTTGCTTTCCAGCACAAAAATCGAAACATTCTTAAATCAAGATTAAGTGAATTTCAATTCAATGAAAATTATCCAGATCTAGTGAGTGCTTAAAACCAGTGTTATTTCAGTATCACTGAAATACTATTAAAGATTTTAGTAATATTTTGAATTAGATTTTATTTTACATTTTCAGTTTAATTTTAAAGTTTTTGCTATTTTGTCATTTAATCTTTTTTTTTTTTATCTACTTGGTTTTTATTCATTTTTATTTATTTTTTAGTACGTCAAGTTAAAGTAGACAAAGTTCGTCAAGACAAACTCTAGGTTGGCTTGAGAAAGCCTAGCCTGAAAGTATAAAGCAGTTGTAAAAGCTTGAAGTTTGAAAATTTAGATCGATCAGATGGATGTTGACAGCATGTTTCTAGCATGTTTAACATGTTGATAGCATGTTTTTAGCATGATTAACATGTTACTAGTGTGTTCTTAACATGTTGCTAGCAAGTTTCTAAAGTGATTAACGTGTTGCTAGCATGTTTCTAACATGATTAGCATGCTGTTAACCAGTTTTTAGCATGATTAGCATGTTTGCTAGAATGTTTTTAGCATGATTAGCATGTTACTAACATGATTAACATGTTGTTAGCATGTTTCTAATGTGATTAACATGTTTCTAACATGATTAGCATGTTGCTAGCATGAGGCTAGCATGATTAGCATTTTTCTCAAGTCAATCTAACTAAATGCTAAATTTTACTAGCGTGTTCTTAGCATTATTAACATTTTGCTAGCATGATTCTAAAGTGATTAAAGTGTTGCATGTTGCTAATTATGTTTCTAGCATGATTCGCATGTTGTTACTAATGTGATTAACATGTTTCTAGCATGATTAGCATGTTGATGGCATATTTCTAGCATGATTAGCATTTTACTAGCGTGTTCTTAACATTATTAGCATTTTGCTAGCATGATTCTAAAGTGATTAAAGTGTTGCATGTTGCTAATTATGTTTCTAGCATGATTCACATGTTGTTACTAATGTGATTAACATGTTTCTAGCATGATTAGAATTTTACTAGTGTGTTCTTATCATGATTAGCATGTTGTTAGCATGTTGCTAGCATGATTCTAAAGTGATTAAAGTGTTTTGCTAGCATGATTATCATGTAGCTAGCATGTTGCTAATTATGTTTCCAGCATGATTAGCATGTTGTTAACAAGTTTCTAGCATGATTAACATGTTTGCTAGAATGTTTTAGCATGATTAGCCTGTTACTAGCATGATTAACATGTAGTTAACATGTTGTTAACATGTTTCTAATGTGATTAGCATGTTTTAGCACGATTAGCATGTTGCTAGCATGAGGCTAGCATGATTAGCATTTTTCTCAAGCCAATCTAACTAAATGAGAAATGCTGAAATAAAAGTTTAAATAATTTTTTTAAGTTAAACAATGAAAATTAATAATAAGTTTGTTTTTCTATTTTTTTCTATTTATTTTATTGTAGCTGGTTTACTATAAGAACCCTGATTATAACAGGATATTTTGACAGATATTGTTTTCTCATTTTAAGAATTTTTTTGATGTCTTTATAGTTTTATAAATTTTTATTTCCATTTTAATTCTATTTTAGTACATCAGGTTAAACTAAATGAAAATGAGAAATGCTGAAATAAAATAAGTTTAAGTTGCTTATAACGATATTTTTGGCAGACACTTTTCATTTTAAGCATTTTTTAAAAATAGCTCTTTATAGTTTTTATTAATTTTCATTTTGACGGACGGACGGACGGACGGATGGATAGATAGATAGATAGTAATTCAAGTAATTACTTTTTTTCTCCATTTGGTTAACTATAATAATTTTTGGCAGATATTTTTTCTTGTTTTAAGCATAAACTCACTTTATTTTGACACATTTCACAGAAATAGTCCGACTGAGGCATGATGGGATGTGATTCTCACCTCTCTCACATGATCCAGCAGGCGTGTGAGTCTTTCTACCAGATGAGTGACAAATATCACATCCATCATGTCTCCAAACAGCGCCGCCCTGCTGGTGAGAGATGAGAGCTGCTGCGCCAACGCCAGAGCGCTGGAGACGTTCACCGACATCTGAGAGAGAACCAGAAGATAGTCATCTCAGCAGGTGACACCCGTCTCTGCATGTTCATCAGGACTGCTGCTCAAAAGCTTGGAGTCAGTAAGAATGCTTTTAAAATAAATGTATACTTATTTAAAAAGGTTGCATTAAATTGATCAAAAGTGTCAGTAAAGACATTTATAATGTCAGAAAGGATTTATATTTCAAATAAACGCTGTTCTTTTGAACTTTCTGTTCAGCTGTGAATCCTGAAAAAACTAAATGCATCAGTTTCCACAAAAATATTGTGCAGCGCGACAATAATCAGAAATGTTTCTAATAGTCAGCATATTATACTGATTTCTGAAGATCATGTGACACTGAAGACTGGAGGAATGATGCTGAAAATACAGCTGCACATCACAGAAATACATTACACTTTAACACATATTCACATAGAAAATTGCTATTTTACATTAGAATAATATTTCACAATTTTTACTGTATTTTTGATCAAATAAATGCAGCCTTGGTGAGACTTCTTTCAGAAATATTATTCAGAACAATTATTACCTACAAATGTTTGACAAGAAGTCCAAGTTAAAATATATGAATGTCCTTAATTTTCAAATTTAATCATCAATCACAGAAATAAATTACATTTTAAATTATTTTTAAATAGAAAACAAACAGAGAGCAGAAGAGACTTCTTTCAAAACATATCAACCCCTTCTTATCGCGATGCCATCTTATCAGTCCCAAATTTGTCAACGCTACTCTTTATTCGCTTTTCCAAATTTTTCAGATGGTTATTTCTTTCTAAAAATAACTAGTTGAAATGCATGTTTTGGCTTCTAATATTGTGTGCTCGAATATTGTATGTCGTCAGGATGCATTAAGTGTTTGAACTACAAATGTTATTTTCATGTGACTAATAAAACACTTTAGATTCTGTCTGAAGCAGTGTTTAGCACTGAACTAGTGTGATCGGATCACCTGTTACACTCTTAAAAATAAAGGTGCTTCAAAAGGTTCTTCAAGCGATGCCACAGAAGAACCATTTTTGGTTCCACAAAGAAGCATTCAGTCAAAGGTTCTTTAAAGAACCATCTCTTTCTTACCTTTTTGTAATCTGAAGAACCTTCTTTCGCCACAAAGAAGCTTTTGTGAAACAGAAAGGTTCTTCAGATGTTAAAGGTTCTTTATGGAACCATTTAGACAAAAAAGGTTCTTCTATGGCATCGTGAAGCACCTTTATTTTTAAGAGTGTACTACAGATTTACACAGGTCCAAAGCAACTTAAAATAATAATTGTGAAGATTATTGAGAGCCAATCAATCGTCAAAGGATCCCTTGCTGCGGATGCTTTCAGCCTTTAACACACAAGTGATTGAGTAAATCAAGTTGAACACCTGCTCCGGATAATCAGGTGTGTCGCGCCAGAAGCGATTCCAGCAGGATAACACCGGTCTGAGACTGCAATAAAACACTCACTGCTGCTGCTGCTGATGCTGATGATGATGATGATGAAGGTACACACCTGTGTGAGCTCATGCAGGCTGCGGGTGAACTGGCTCACGTATGAGCACTGGTTATAGTCGTGCTCCGCCCAGCGGCCCATGCGGTCGCACCTGCGCCACGCCCTTTTCTCCTGAGGGGTGGAGTCAGAGCGGGACCACGCCCTCTTCTCCTGAGGGGTGGAGTCAGAGCGGGACCACGCCCTCTTCTCCTGAGGGGTGGAGTCAGAGCGGGACCACGCCCTCTTCTCCTGAGGGGTGGAGTCAGAGCGGGACCACGCCCTCTTCTCCTGAGGGGTGGAGTCAGAGCGGGACCACGCCCTCTTCTCCTGAGGGGTGGAGTCAGAGCGGGACCAAGCAGGATAACACCGGTCTGAGACTGCAATAAAACACTCACTTCTGCTGCTGCTGATGCTGATGCTGATGATGATGATGAAGGTACACACCTGTGTGAGCTCATGCAGGCTGCGGGTGAACTGGCTCACGTATGAGCACTGGTTATAGTCGTGCTCCGCCCAGCGGCCCATGCGGTCGCACCTGCGCCACGCCCTTTTCTCCTGAGGGGTGGAGTCAGAGCGGGACCACGCCCTCTTCTCCTGAGGGGTGGAGTCAGAGCGGGACCACACCCTCTTCTCCTGAGGGGCGGAGCTAGAGCTGGACACGGCACATGGCAGGAAGGCCATGAAACCAGCCAATGTCTTCGGCCACCTGTGAACGTGATTCATCAGATCAAGAGTCTGCGTTCTCTTCACTAATGTCACCTTTCTTTGTCATGTTTGATGTCTCAGTGTGGTTTGATTTGTTTAGTAGATCATTTATTAAAGCAATAAGCCCCGTGAAGTGAATTTATAACAGCTAAGGGGCGTTGTTAGGTACGGTTATTCTATATACGTAGTAAGGTTTCACAGAATAAAACCGAGCCAATAAAGTGTAATGATATTAATAAAAACGGTATTCTTCCACCCAACAATGTAGCTCCTCAGAAACAGTTGCAACACACAAACGTAAACAAAGGTGTGTGTTACTTTGTAGCGTCATTTACAACAGCTTTGAACGCGGCTCAGCCAATCAGAATCAAGCACCGGAACTCTCCTTTTATAAAGTACATTTATATATATTAATTTATAGAATTTATAGTTCTTTGTCAAACGTTGTGTTTGGAACGAATGCTTGAGCATCTTTCTTTACTATAAATGACACTGGCTGTGATATTTTGCGAGATAACGTGATAACATTCAGATGTTTTACATGACCACTCAAAAGTTTGGGGTTATTCAGTATAATACAGTAAAAACAGTACTATTGTGAAGTGTTATTACAATTTAAAATGACTGTTTTCTAATTTAATAATAATTTCTATTTGAAATAATAATTTAAGGTGAAATGTATTCCTGTCTTAATAAATAATAAATTATAAAAATGTATATATATATATATATATATATATATACACACACATACACTTTTTTTTTTTTTTTTACACTACCTGTCAAAAGTTTTTAATAATTTAGATTTTTAAAATGTTTTTTGAAAGAAGTCTCAGATGCTCAACAAGGAAGCATTTATTTGGTCAAAAATACAGTAAACATTTTGAAATATAATTCAATAATAATTTCCATTTAAAATTATAATAATTTAAGCTGAAATGTATTCCTGTCTTTGATGATAACAATTAGAAATTGAGGATTGAAAACCATAATATATATATATATATATATACACAGCTGTTTTCTATGTGAATAAGTGTTAAATTGTAATTTATTGCTGTGATCAAAGCTGAAATTTCTCAAGAAACATTTCTGATTATTATCAATGTTGAAAACAGTCGCGCTGCACAATATTTTTGTGGAAACTGTGATGCATTTTATTTTTCAGGATTCACAGATGAACAGAAAGTTCAGAAGAACAGCATTTATTTGAAATAGAAATCTTCTGTAACATTATCGATGTCTTTACTGTCACTTCTGATCAATTTAATGCATCTTTGCTGAATAAAAATATAAATTTCTGAGCCCAAACTGTTGAATGGCAGTGTCTTTTGACGAGTTTCTCACATGAGTTTGTGAACATGAACAGAGTCTGTTTGTTGTTGTCAGTAATACACAAATGACATTAATTCCTCTGCTAACAACAGGCTCATTTTCCAGCCCATTACAGATGTGTGCTGCATAAACACAGAACATGGAGCTATAAAAGCAGATGAATCAGAGAACTGACATTAAAATAAAAAGGAGGCACTGAAGCATCACAATTACACAATCCGTGATGTGGTTTACAGGCATAGTTCACCCAAAAATGAAAATTCTCCAAACCTGAATGAGTTTCATTCTTCTGTTGCACACGGAGAAAAAAAAAAGTTATTATTATAAACATTGACGGTAGCCATTGACTTCCATACTACACCTGTTGGGTTCCCAGCATTCTTCAAAATAGCTTCTTTTGTGTTTAACAGAAGAAAGAAACTCATGTCTGTGTGTGATGTCTGTAGCCGCGGACACACCTGAAGTCGCCCTTGTTGCTACTGACCCTCTCGGCTGCGCAGTACAGCGCCGTCGTCTCCAGCACCACGATCTCCATGCCGATTGAGCTGTTGCCACGGGAACTGGTCACGTGACACTGCCAATTTCCGGAAACGCCGGCATCGATGTTGGACAGGATGAGCTCGCTGCGAAACGAGGGCGAGACGGCACTGAGTCACACTCGAATATGAGCCAGTTTAACACCCGGACAGTCGAGAACATGAGCATTTGTGCTCAGTTATCATGAAAAAGGCTTTTTTTTCTCTTTATGAAATATATGTTTTTGCATCTATTCAAATAATAAATGATGCACATTTTCAAAGTGCAAAATACTATCTATTTGAGTGGCTGTTTAATTCAAAATGTATCCATCAATGTGATACTGAGCACCGGCAAACACAAGACTAAGGTTATTCGGACTCATTCATATTCAGCTCTGCATTATTAATACACTGTAGAAGCTTTTGTTCCTGCATTGCTACAACATTTTCGAGGGAAACATTGAGGGATGCGAACGATTCATGCATGCAAACACTGGCTGTGGAATAGTAAGTGGCTCAGTGAGCACGCTCAAATCTTTCACAGTAAAAATGATTAAAGGCTCAGAAAGAGAGACAGTGACTGCTCAGGTCCGTAATCCCTCACACACACACACACACACACACACACATGTCTGGTCAGCTATCCTTGTAGGGACTCTCCATAGGTGTAATGGTTTTTATACTGTACAGGCCGTATATTCTATTGTCCTACACCAACCCTACCCCTAAACCTACCCCTCACAGGAGACTTTCTGCATTTTTACTTTCTTAGAAAAAACTCAGTCTGTATGATTTATAAGCTTCTGTACCCATGGGGACCTCAATTTAGGTGACAAGTCCCCAGGTGTGTTTTCAGGTTTAAGTACAGAAAAGTATAGAAAAACATGTACACCCTCACACACACATGCGCACACACACTCACACACAACACACACACACACTCACACACATACACAAACGTGCACACACACACACACACACACACTCTCTCACACACATGCACAAACGCGCACACACACACACACACACGCACACACACAGACGTCGACTCTCCAGCTCTCCTCAGAAAATGTTGACTCTCTTTCCCTGACTCAATGACTGTCAGTTTTCATTCTGTGCTTGAGTGTGTGGAGACTGATGTTTGTGCCTTTAAACATAGATTAAACTCTTCCACAGCAGACTGTTCTTCAACTTTAATTGTCAGTTTTGTAGTCAGCTATTAGATTTACATTTGGCTCAAACCAGCGTTAAAGCAGCGGTGTGCAATTCTGCAGCAAGTGTTCTGGCATCAAAATTAGAGAAATACAGAAATAAGCAGATTTGTACATTTTCTGAAAATGTGAGTACTACCAAGGTGTTGCTATGACGTTGCTAGGGTGTTGCTAGGTGGTTGCTGGGATGTTTATGTGTAGTTGCTTGGTGGTTGCTGGGATGTTTATGTGTAGCTGCTAGGTGGTTGCTAGGGTGTTGCTAAGTGTATGTCATGGTGTTGCTGTGCACTTGCTAAGGTGTGCTAGGTGGTTGCTGGGATGTTGCTGTGTACTTGCTAAGTGGTTGCTAAGTTGTTTCTGTGTTGTTGCTAAGTGGTTGCTGGACTGTTGCTGTGTAGTTGCTAGGTGGTTGATAGGGTGTTGCTAAGTGGATACCAGGGTGTTGCTGTGTAGTTGCTAAGGTTGCTAGATGGTTGCTGGGGTGTTGCTAAGTAGTTGCCAGTGTGTTGCTATGTGGTTTCTAGGGTGTGTTAGGTGGTTGAAAGTGTGTTGCTACGTGGATGCAAGGGTATCGTTAGGTGGTTGTAAAGGTTTGCTAGGTTTGGCCCAAACAAGCGTTAAAGTAGCTGTGTTTAATTCTACATCAAATTTTACACTATCAAAATTATAGAAATAATCAGATTTATACATTTTCTGAAAATGTGAGTGAATACCAAGCTGTTGATATGAAGTTGCTAGGGTGTGCTAGGCTAGCTGGTTACAAATGTGTACTAGGTAGTGTTAAGGATGAACTTGGTGGTCAAAGAATGCTGCTAGGTGGTGTGCTACAGTAGGTGGGTGCCAGGGTGTTGCTATGTGGCTGATATAATGTGATGGGTGGTTGCTAAGGTGTTGCTAGGATGTTCAAGGCAGTTTCAAGGGTGTTTTGTTAGGTGGTTGCCAGGGTGTTGCTATGTGACTGATATAATGTGATAGGTGGTTGCTAAGGTGCTGCTAGGATGTTCAAGGCAGTTTCAAGGGTGTTTTGTTAGGTGGTTGCCTGGGTGTTACTATGTGATTGATATAATGTGCTAGGTGGTTGCTAGGGTGTTGCTAGGATGTTTAAGGTGGTCCCAAAGGTGTTGTTAGGTGGTTGCTAAAGTGTGCCAGGTGGTTGTGTACTAGCCCAGTAAATTAAGAGTCAATTACTGAATTTCTACGATATAACTCAGGTTCCTCCTTCAGTCAAATAAGGGGAAAATGCACATTTCACCTTTAAAAGCAGTTTACAAGTAGTATGTCGTAATTAGAGGCATGCTTCAGGAGAAATTAATTAATATCCAGAGTGCAATGCAGCCATTTTTAGTGTCTATCTAGGAGATTATCCAGGTAAATCATCCTGATGTTCTGATGACGTCTGATTATGGCACATTATTCCTCTCTGCTGTGGTCCGGCTGCACTTAGAGCCCTGATTAATGACCTCGGACCGGCCCACGGCAGCACTAGAGACTGACCCATCTGTAGCACATATGGCTCAGAAAGCGCTCTGAAGAGCTGTGGTGCGCAGCAGAGCTCTGTGGCCGGGCAACTGTGCTTGTGCCCCGTTAAACTGACAACCACACGCCAAAAATAACAGAGTGGTTCCCCTAAAGAGACACGAGAGATGCTCTGCACTCATATGATGACAAATAAATGATACGACACAAGCAGAATATACACAACAAACACAAAAAATAAAAACCTGCTAAACATCTCCTGTTGTGTCACACAAAACAAATAATGTCATACTGGTTTAGAACAACATGAGGAATTACATTCAATTTATGCAGACACTTCTATCCAAAGCGATTTGCACTAGAGGAACAAAAGCAATTTGGCATAGAATTAACAATATTTGTAAAAAATATCTTTAATATCTCAACTATTGCTCCTAGGCAAGAATGAGAATACACTTCGCTGAATTCTCCTGATGGAGATGTTTCTCCTGAGAAAAAGACTCCAGTTATCTCACATGTCTCCTTTAAACATGAAACAATATGAATGAAATATAACTGAGATCTCCATTCATATGAGCTATGAAAGACCAATGCCTGATCAGTGAAGTATGAACCTTTATTTTATTGTATTTTATGAATTTTGAAGGTTTTTGGGTGAACTACCCATTTAAACATCTGCCACATCATCTCTCCTCTTCTCTCTCAGATATAATGAGTTGTTGTTGCTCTAATGTCTGAGGAGATGGAGTTTGTGGTTGGTCTGTGAGCACGTTTACAGCTGCAGTGATTTCCTCTCATGAGCTCAGACTAAATGAGAGACCATTCTGAACCAAGTCCAAACCAGCCCAGAGTCTCCATCACACACACACACACACACAGACACACATCATAATCAAATGGCATCAAAATTAACTTTATTTTCTCTCTACATGTTTTTTTTAACATCATTATGTACTCATTCATGTGGACCTCATCAACCACCCAGAACACCCTAGCAACCACCTAGGAATACCCACAACACATTGGCAACCGCATAGCAACACCCTGGCAAACACCCACAATGCATTAGCAACCACATAGAAACACCCTGGCAACCACCCACAACAAGTTAGCAACCGCATAGAAACACCCTGGCAACCACCCACAATGCATTAGCAACCGCATAGAAACACACTGGCAACCACCCACAATGCATTAGCAACTGCATAGAAACACCCTGGCAACCACCCACAACAAGTTAGCAACCGCATAGAAACACCCTGGCAACCACCCACAATGCATTAGCAACTGCACAGAAACACCCTGGCAACCACCCACAACAAATTAGCAACCGCATAAAAACACCCTGGCAACCACCCACAATGCATTAGCAACTGTATAGCAACACCCTGGCAACCACCCATAATGTATTAGCAACTGCATAGCAACCACCTGGCAACCACCCACAACACTTTAGCAACCACATAGCAACGCCCTAACAACCACCAACTGCATAACAAAACCCGGCAACCACCCACAACACATTAGCAACAAGCAACCACATAGCAACACCATGACAACCACCCCCAACATCAAAGCATCATGGCAGTAAGTCCTGTATGCACTACTCACATTTTCTTTCAAATAAAATGCATTTATGTATGTGTCCAAATAAGAGAAGAAACGAGCATCAAAGAGAACACGCACACACACACACACACACACACACACACACACAGTGACCTACATTCACACAACAGAGCTCTATTGTCCAGTCATCCACAATTGTCTCCAAAGCACTTCATTAGCAGCATTTACTCTCATGCACTTGCACAGAAACACCCTGGCAACCACCCACAACAAATTAGCAACCGCATAAAAACACCCTGGCAACCACCCACAATGCATTAGCAACTGTATAGCAACACCCTGGCAACCACCCATAATGTATTAGCAACTGCATAGCAACCACCTGGCAACCACCCACAACACTTTAGCAACCACATAGCAACGCCCTAACAACCACCAACTGCATAACAAAACCCGGCAACCACCCACAACACATTAGCAACAAGCAACCACATAGCAACACCATGACAACCACCCCCAACATCAAAGCATCATGGCAGTAAGTCCTGTATGCACTACTCACATTTTCTTTCAAATAAAATGCATTTCTGTATGTGTCCAAATAAGAGAAGAAACGAGCATCAAAGAGAACACGCACACACACACACACACACACACACACACACACACAGTGACCTACATTCACACAACAGAGCTCTATTGTCCAGTCATCCACAATTGTCTCCAAAGCACTTCATTAGCAGCATTTACTCTCATGCACTGATATTTCACAATCTGAGGATAATAACAGGCCTGTGAGTGCTGGAGTCGGGGTCTTCGCTGATGAATATTTCAAAACCCAGAGTATGA